AACCCCAGGGCACACCGGCCTTTGGCCGCAGGGCACCTGAATGGGCCTCCCTTCTAATGTGGGGCAGGAGGGCAATCTGAAGGCACAGAGCCCGGGGACCACGGAGAGCTGCGCCTGTCCTGTCCGGCCCCACCAGGGACCCATTGAGGCCGACCCCACAAAGGCCACCTTGTCCTGGTCCCGGCCAGTCAGCCCTGCCCGAGGAGTGGCAGTAGCTGGACAAGCATAGAGGGGCGAGGGCATGGAACTAGGGGAGAAGGTCCCCTGAGAGTGGGTAACGGGGTGGAAATAGGAGACAGAAGCTCACGTCCTCGGAGCACCACTGATATTGGCGTGACCTCGGACAGGTCACTGGACCTGACTCCTCAGACCCCTCACCTGTGAAACGGGCTGCAGAGGGGAGGACAGACGTTTGTGCCTGTGCCGTGCAAACCATGGCACATGAGCCAGGGAGAGTCTTCGCCATTCATGAGGACGGGGAGGGCAGGCCCACAACATTTCCATCTCAAACAGGAATGTTGCTTCTCTACTTGAGAAGCAAAACCCTTGGTAAACTGTAAAGCACTGCCCATGGCGAGGGGATTGGTAGGAGGCTGACGTGAGTGATGGATGCCTCACTGGGCGGGAGCGCCTTCGCCCCAGGTGGTTCCCGTGCGGTGTCTGAGAACGGCCCAGTGACCTTGGCTGTCCTCTGGCCACTGAGCGGCAACTCTCCTGCGGGGCCTTCACGGCAGCTGCCTTGGCAGGGAGACTGGCACCCGCCGTCCTCAGGATCCCAAAGAAATGAATGGCAATGACGGGGGTAAAAATATCCGTGTGCTCTGTGCTCGCTCGCTCAGCTCCGTTCTATCTCAGGATCGTTGAGGCTTAATTATAGAGCTCAGACATTCATTGGGCTTTTGATTAATTTTCTTTTCAGCCTGAAGAGTGTGAGTGTAGTGGGTCTGCGTGTGCGTGCGTGTGTGTTTGCATCTTTCTCTGCAGCTCCGTTGGGAGCTGGCTCTGGCGGTGCTTCATTGTGTTCTCAGCGGTTCCATGTGCCGAGCAGAGCTGGGGAGGCCGTTGTTCACGCTGCCTCCGCCGTGGCCTGCACCTGCCGGGATGAGGGACGCAGGGCGGGGCCTCGCTCAGCTGGGGCCTCAGCTGCGTTGCTTGCTCTCTCCTCCTCCTGCGCTTCCGGTGCTTCAGGGATCCTGAGACCCCCGAGAGCAGATTGCTCCTCGCTAATTACCGGAGCTGCTGAGAGCTGCCCAGACAGCTCCCTCACTCTGCACCCAGTGGCACCTCCGGCCAGTCTCCCTGGGTTACCCGGTTCTCCGCTCATTTTTAACACATTCCCTTTGTAGATCGGGTGAGGCCGCATGGCTGTGGAGGAGCAAGTGACTGGCTTCTCCTTCGCTTCCCTCTCTTCTGTGCCCTCCTGGCAGGGAGCACCGCGGAGGCAGCTCAGGGCCTGGGCGAACAGGCGATTTGGAGCAAATGGCCCAGCTGGAACCTGCTCCTGACATTTTCTGTTTGTGTCAATGAATAAGTCCGTTAACCTCTGTGTATCTCAACCAGTGTTTGTAAAACGGGGATGGTAATGATATTACGGTACACTCCTCCAAGATGGTCTGGGGGTGAGAAAATGCATATGGAAGCTTTTGTAAAATATAAATCACAGTTCTTTTATTTTGCTGCTCAGATCACGACTTGACCTGTGAGATACACTCCTAGCACCTGGACAGAGGGCGTCGGGAAACGCCCTTGGAAGGGACTGGAGAGGGACCAGCCTCCAGCCTCCCACATGCTGAGGACCAAAGCCATGACCCTGGAGGTAAGATGTGCGCAGCAAAGGGCCCGAGGGAAGAGCGCAATTTCAAAACAGAGGTCACAGATCAAACCGATCAAAGGGAATCCGGAACATTCATTTTCGACGTAATTGTCACAAGGACCTCCCCTGTCCTTTAAGGGATGGATCCCATCGTCTCCAGTGCAAGAGGGTGACGGCTCAGGGTGGTGACAGAGGTATGGCCGGAGACCAGGAGAGGGCTGTGGGCTCAGGTAAGGGACTGTGCTGTGATCTGAAGTTGGGGAGGCCCAGGCCCTCCCCTGGGCCCTGCTGACTAGTAGGTACGTGGCCCTGAGATGAGCTAATTTAATGGGACCTTAATTCCCTCGGGATCATGGACTAAAAGCTTTCAAAGGTGACTACCATGAAGAATCTATGACTTAATGAAATGCTATTTCCCAGGCTGTGTGTGTGTGTGTGTGTGTGTAATACAAATGTAAACCTAAGACTGGCCAGGCACTGTATGAGTCCCTCTAAGCTGATAGCTCTGCTGTGAGACCTGGGGACTCTTGGGGACACGTCTGGTGGGAGCAGGAAGGGACCTGAGGTGACTCCCTCTGGAGGACCTTTCACTTTGCAATATCCGGTCTGCGTTGAGGGACATTCAGAATCACAGACAGAAAAGGGTTGTTTTCCGGTAAAACAGCGATGACTTTAAAATCATTGGCTGCAGGGCCCTAGGACATCCGCTAGGTTTCAAAACTGAGAGACCCTGCTGCAGAGTTCACAGTATCACTGACAATGATCACAGTGCATATTTGGTTATTATACAGGGATTTGCCTTTTATAAGTACTTTCCTATCTATTTTTTTTTCTCATTTTGTCATCACACAATTTTTGAGAAAACTGGCCTGGGGTAGTTTCTTTTAAAATTTGGAAACGTGTGCATGTTCAGCAGGAACCAGTCTTGCTAAGTGTGCGGAACCTGGCTTTATAAAGACAGTGCATCCTTGGAAAAGTTGTATGTGAATATGACTGTGTACGTCACAGCTTATTTGAGTGGGCAATGGGTATTTGAAAACAGAAATCTTGTAAGATTGTGTAATATACATAATCCTTTCTTCTTCTGCTGCTTTTTTTTTTTTTTTTTTTTTTTTTTTTTTTTTTTTTACAATTTTTGGTTTTTAAAGATCAGGTTTTTCTTAAAGTAAGAACATGGCCTAGGTTCCGGGATCAGTGTCCACTCTCCAGGTCCCACATGGGTGGCATCTAATCCCACCAGAGGGACACACTGCTGTTTCCGATTCTGCCAGCAGCTCCTTATTTCAGCCCCGGAGCTCTTTGGGGCTTCCTCCCCTAAACAAACAAACAAAACAAAACAAAACAAAACACACCCTGGAAGCGTGGAGAGGGATGGAGGAACACAAATGGAACAGCAGAACTATTTCTAAATGAACTGTCCTGTGAGTCGCTGGTGTGTTGTCTGTGTGTGCTATAAATGGCTCAGCGTGCCCTCAGTAACCAATCCAGGGGAAGCTCAGGACCGAGATGCGGGATCCACATGGTGTCATTGGAAATGGATCTCCTGTAAATGAGCACCACCCCTGGGATTAGAACCTGAAAGAAGTTCAGCTAGATTGCACTTTTAATAAAAGTAATAAAAAGGCGCTCCTGGCTTTCCTGCTCCATCCTCAAGCTCTGGCCACAGACACATCCCTGGAGCCAACCACAGGGCTGTCACAATTGCTCTGAACCTCAACTCTCTCACCAGGCCTGTAAGTCCGCCCATCAAGCCCACAGCGGCATTGTGGGACTTTCAGAATCATGTTGCAGGGGGAGGAGCTTGAAAAAGGCACCATATTTATATATCACAGTTCATGACTGGGAATAAAGGGAAAAGCTCTTTTTGGAGGGTGATAGAAGTTAGAAGAGCTGGAAAAATCCTTATTATAAAAATTAGAAACTCTTTAAAAAACTTGATATTGGCCTGACCAAAGGAAACACAGTTTCTCATATTTATTGCTTCATGTGAGTAGCTCAGATTTTCATTAACGAGCTCAGGGTTAAGGCTTAGGAAGCAGTCTCACAAAGGCCCAGCAGTTAAAGTTGATTTTTGTGAAATCGAGTGGAAAGAATCGAATATAGAAGCACAGTGCGTGCTTTGTGCTCCACGCACTCGCCAGGAATTTTGGACCCGGGCACACGCAGCTGCGGGTGTGCATTCTATACGCCCAACTCATTCGGAAACTAAAACCACAAACAATCCAAAAGTGAAAATGCTATTCTTATTTGCTGAAATGTTCTTGAAGCCCTCCATGGATTCTTGGCTTATACACATTATCTTTCTGTAAATTTAGGACTAGTAACGGGAACAGAACAAGCAGCTGTAAACAAAAAATCACAATTCAGGTTTCACTGAAAACATGGTGAAGGCCCCGAATATCATAGTGACTGCAGAGCACAGAAACGACCTATCCCAACACTGTGATTAAGGATGCTCTGAGTAATCACTTTTTGGAAGGAGGTAGGTAGATGGAACCATCCAGAGTCACCATCGGTTAGTTCATATCAGCACCTTGGATAGCTCCCAGGACTCCCTCTCAGAATAGAACAAATGTCAATATACCTGCAGTTTCTAAGTGTTCCTTTCATTCCAGTGAGTCTACGGATGACCTGATAATCAACTAATAAATGCACAATGATTTGTGATAATAACTTATTCCTTCCTCTCCCCAACGCCCATTCTCCTCACCACCGCCCTTCCTTCCACCCTCTTCCCCAGCACCCTCCCCTCAGACAGCGGACTGTCTGTCTTACAAACGCCTGGTGTGGATGTTTCACTTCCACTTCTAACAGGTTGGGAAGCAGCATTTGCCACAGGCACTGTTTACTTTCGTTTCCATTCCCTGCTTCTCACAGGAAAATGGTCAATAGTTTGGATAAAAGAATCATCCTGGTCAGCTCCAAATAAAATATGGCTCCTTGCATGGTGTTCATAGCAAGTCTGTTGAAGCAGTGATTTCTCTATTCCTAAGAGGAAGAGATTTTCCCTAAGGATTATGGTTCTACCACCCAAGGAGCAGCTCTGCTCTTCACAGGTGGCTGCAAAGGCTGGCAAACCAGGAGGTCTGCTTTGGCTCAGAAATTCAGTTTGGCTCCTGCCATCCCTGGAACCCCCACGGCGTGTCTCCACGACAGGTGCTCCACATACTTCCAGGCCGGTTGGTTTCTACTTAGGAGGAATCACAACCAGAGGTGGCCCCCGCTTGGGCCTCCACATGAGGACCTGGGCATCATTGGCATTGGGTTTCACTAGTGCGTTGGGGGGGATGGGTTCCATCCGGCTCAGGATCCGGGGCTGCTCCTGCTGAGTCCTGCCCACCAGCCGGGCCCGTTGTCCCAAGAGCTGAAGGGGGTCCACCTCAATGTCCACCCTCATCCTCCACTTAATGGTCTGCAGAATGATCTTCTCCTTTGTGGTTGTGTTCATGGCTACCAGCCAGGTGGTGAAACTTTGGTCCCTCTTGATCCTGGTGAGCAGGGGTACGTTGCTGTCGCTCACTGGCACTGCCCATGTCACACTGGGGTAGAAATTGTCATTCATGCTGACGGAGAACCTGGACATCTTGTTGGTGGGGCCGACCAGGGTCACAGTCTCTGTGGTGTTCCCGTACCAAGGGTAGCTCACCCCATCTGAGTCACTGATGGCTTTTACTCTCCCTTCCCTCAAGTCAGGCAGCTCCCAGCTCGACCTGGCAAAGCAGAAGAGACGCAAGAAAGGAAGAGTCTGAATGAATTTTTCAAAGCTGGAGAGGTGCCCACCACTTCCTAACACAGCCAGCTTGGGCAGAATGGGGAGTTCAGAGGGGAATTCAGATAAGAGAGTTTCATGCTGTGCTGTTTCATGATAAATAGGAACAAATGAAAACAAACAAAAATTAAAAAGTGATACCAAGACAAATTAAATACAGTCATAACTGGTCCAACTGGAAGCAGAAAACTCAAATATGCATTTGTGAGACCCACAAGGAGGCATTGACTATTTGGGATGGTGGAATTAAAATCAAGTGTTTAAGGCATTCATTGCAAAACCCATTTTCTTGGGAATTATGAGCAGGTGTGAGGTTTGTTGGGAAGAGGTGCTGGTTAAGGTCTGATGTACCTGGAGTGAACTATTAGATTGTAAGAGGGCAAAAGAAGGCAAAGTGAAAAATTACATCAATTCTTAGAAAATCCCAGTACTAGAATTTCTACTTAACCAAGAAGGTTGTTTAAAACCCAGTTATTGGCTAACCCAGTGGTTGGCAAACTCATTAGTCAACAGAGCCAAATATCAACAGTACAACGTTTGAAATTTCTTTTGAGAGCCAAATTTTTTACACTTAAACTTCTTCTAATGCCACTTCTTCAAAATAAACTCACCCAGGCCATGGCATTTTGTCAAAGAGCCACACTCAAGGGGCCAAAGAGCCACATGTGACTCGCGAGCCGCGGTTTGCTTACCACTGGGCCAACCCAACTTAGAAAATATAGACATAGAAACTGGTAACACAAGGAAATAATGGTCACCTCTGGAACCGCCTCAATGTGAAAGCTATGTGAAGGTTGGCAGACAAAGTCTCTCATAGCTATTCTTTTACTGACTTCAAGTCCAGTTCTGAAGTCTAATTGCTTAGTTTAGCAAATTTGCCATCTGGGCATTTTGCTACTATTTCTGGCTGTCCCCAACCTTGTACTGAAGGAGGGAAGAGGACATGTGCCCAATTCTTAGCCCATGTCTCTCTCCCGTGCCATGGAATCATTACCAACACCATCATCACCATCACCCCTACCACCACCAGCACCAGCATCATCATCACCACCACCATCATCATTACCACCATTATTATAATCACCAACACCACCACCATCATCACCATCATTATCATGCTCATCATCACCATCATCATTACTGTCATCATTAGCAGCATCACCATTGCGATCATCATCACCATCATATCACCAACTTTATCACCATCCTCATCGCTGATACTTATTGAGCACTTGCTCTATTCCTACCACTGTGCTAAGTGCTTCATGCTTTCTTAATCAATGCTTAAAATATACGGCAAAATAAATGAATTTTTCTTTCCATTTTATGTGTGAGAGGATGGAGGCACTTCCAATTCCAGATGGGCCAAACCACACGCACCTTGTTCATGGCAAAGTTGGCCCTTTCCCCATTTCTGCTGCGGGGTGGCTCGGTGCTAACTGTCCTCCAGGTCAGAGGTGAGGGTCACCTTCGGCTGCTCCTATGCCCTCTCCTGGACTGCCACACCGACTGTGTCACCACAGCCTGTGAATTTTGCTCCATAAATGATGCTTGAATTTTTCTCCTTTTCTGCATCCAGCTCTCCCTGCCCTCAGCATCTCTGACCTGGTCTTCTATAGACCTTTATACCGGTCTATAACTGGTCTCTCAGAGATGCAGGTCTGACTGTGTCCTTTCCATGTCTGAAACCTTCCAAAGGCTCTTCTACATGGACAGCACTGGCTTCACCCACAGCATAACATTCAAGTTCATCAATAGCACATATGTGGCTCTCAAGGTCTGGCCTCCTCAGTCCCACACACTATTCTGTTTCTCGTCTCTCCTCTTTGCTCATGCCCGGCCCTCTGCCCACACTATTCTCTCCCCTCCCAGTCTCACTGTACCTAACTGCTCTTCCTCTGGGAATCGCTGAATGTGTGACCTCTGCAGGACGCTCTCTCTTCCATGCTCCTAGGGATGCATTCAAACCTTCACAGGCCCGGATTAGAATGATTTGTTTTTATGTCTGTCTTTCCCTTTAGGTTATGACTGCCTTCAGGCTTGGGATTGTGACTTATTTTTGAATCATTGATGTCTAGCACGTTACTGATAATAATCCTATCTAATAAAGAGGGAATGTGCTAATTGACCCTTGCACTGTAGCAAAGATGGTGACACCCACAGAAAATAAGGAGGGAATATGCTAATTGGCTGCCCCACCTCAAATATGGCATCACCCACAGCCACAAGATGGCAGCGTCCAGTCCGCTCAGCCCTACCGGGGCCATGCACCTGCCTCTGGAATCCCCCAGTCCTCTTAGCCCCCCAGCCACCCAAGGCCAGCCCCAGGCACAGGCAAGCCTTGGATGGCAGTTGTCCAGCTGCCCAACACTGCCCGAGACTCAGGTAACCAGGGCTGGCCAAGGCTTGTGCTGCCGGCAGTGGCAGCAGCAGAGGTGTGATGGGGGCGTAGCCTTTCCCTGATCACTGGGTTCTCCCACCCCTGAGGGCTCCCGGACTGTGAAAGGGGGAAGGCTGGGCTGAGGGACCCCCTCCAGTGCAAGAATTTTCATGCATCGGGCCTCTAATAGATCTTAATAAATCTCCATCAAAGGAATAAGCAAATATTTGATTGGAATAATTTTCAAGTCTCTATGCCTATAGCTTGGTAGAACTTGTATGCAGCAAAGCACTTTACCACAGGTTTACACTGTATATATTCACTCATCTTAAAAAACATTCACACACTGGCATCTACTATTCATTTAGGGTCTATTAATAGAACAGCTCCATGCCTGACGCTGAAAGTTATGCACACTTAAGGGGGAGGGGGAGAAGCCACACATAAATAAAAATGAATGAATTGGTTACGATGGGCTTGAGGTGAGAATTAAGTAAGGCAACAAAGGGGAAGCATCAGCACAGAGTGTGGCATAAACCAAGTGACGCAGATGTTTAGTAAGGAACAGAGACGGGGAGTGGGAGGCAGAGGAGGAAGCCAGCAGCCCTGGGCCTTCACTGGCAGCACCTGCGAGAGGCAGGGACCAGCGTAGGCTGTTCACACGAGGAAAGGCTCCTCTGAGTGACATGGGCTGAGAAGCACCTGGGATCTCCTTACGTCTCCGAGCTATGACAGGGGCGAGCGGCTTGTGCCGGTGCTGGGGCCAATGTCAGTTATTATCTCACCCCTCCTTCTCCCACAGCCTCTTCTCCGCGCCGGGATCAGCACAGTGTTTGCGTTTCAGACAATCAGCCATTGACCCAGCACTCACAGCTAATGGACTCGCCAATGGAGCCGATAATGAAAGCATCGATCAACTGCAACCTTCACGCTTCCTGCGTCTCTTCTTTAAAAGAAAGAGGCAAATCTCAATCAAACAAGCTCGTGTGAAGCATTTCGTTCAAATAAGTGGATCCTGGGTGAAGGTCCCGGTGCCAGCCAGGCCTCCCGTGCCCACGGCACAGCCACCTCTCTGCAGAGCCCACGTGGCTCCCGGAAGCCCTGTGGTCGCCGAGAAGGTGGGAGCCGGCGTTCCGGAAGGCAGGCCCTGGGCAGGGGTGGGACGGGAGGAGGGGGCTCACACACGGAGGGTGCCCACACACCTCCCGGGGAGGCTTGGAGATTCCCGATGAAGCTCCCCCGGCCCAGGCCACGGAGTCCCTGCTTCGTCCCACACGCTAGAGGGTGGGACACCCACTCGAGTGACTTCTGGCTGTGCCCCTCCACACTCAGTGAGAGCCCCTCCTTCTAGGCCACCCTCTGGAGACCTGGGACTTCTATTCCTACCCAAGTGGCCCCATGCTCACCCTGACAGAGCCCCCACTTGGGAATGTGGAAAGTGAGGCTATGGGAGCACCACACTGAGGATCCGGCTTTCCTCCCAGGCCGAGGAGAGCAGCGTGCCCATGTGCCAGCCAGTGCCCTTGACGTGGCAATCCCAGCGCCCCACACTGTTCTGTCCCCCAAGCCCTCCAGGGAGGAGCTGGGAGTGAGAGCCCTGGGCAGAGGGGGGGAGGGGGCAGGGGGAGAGGAGCTAAGAGAGGGGAACGGGTGGAGACCCCTCAAGGGCAGGTGCGAGGAGAGGGCTGTGCGGGAGGCAGGAGGCAGTGGCGTGTGTCACCTGACGAGTCACGAAGCCACAGCCTTTGGGTGGCCTGTCCACCCACGCAGACATCAACCCCAACCCCGGCACCAGCCCGGGTCCTGATTCCCAGGGGGTTTGCACCGAAATTACAGAGTGAGTTTAAAATTAGGTTTTCCTCCACTGCACTGTGTGTCAGACTCGGAAGCCCGTGACTACCGCCTCCCACCACCCGCCCTCCGTTCCGACCACATCCTCTCCTGACTGAGAGAGCAGCATTTTCCCACGGCAAAAAGGGCCTTTTCAGGGTTTTCAGAGCCTCCGTGTGTGGAGGGCCTGGCGGGCTCCCTCATCAGGGCCTCCTGTTCTGCTTGGGCGGGTCGCCTAGCGACACTTCCCATTAGGGGCTCTGCCTTCAGGACCCGAGCTCAGGGCCCCTCGCTCCTGTCCCGGTGGGCTGTCGGAGGCCCCCACGGGGGGCTGGCCGGCTCCCACAGACAGCTCTGAGGTCTCGGGTGGGTGATATCTGAGCTTCCTGGAACAGAGCGGCTCCCCCACAGAGCTGTGGGCCGGTAGCCCCAACACGTCCTCACACAGGCCTGTGGCCGCTGAGCCGACCACAGGGCCTGTGCTGGGCGCCCCTCGAGTCCACAGCCTCGCCGAGGTGCCGGGCCAGAGGGCCTCTAAGGGGTCTGGCTCAGCATTTGTCTTCTCCATCCGTGTGGCTGCCTCCTCTCCAGGCCACCGAATGGTCCTGCTGGGCCTCCGTCCACGCTGCCCTGCCTGGCGGCCCCACAAGCCAGGAAAGTGATCTTCAAGGACGTAAATCAGATCACGAGGCATCTCTCTGAGAACCCACGCTGGCCTCTGGGCCCTGTCA